TCGGCGCTCTACTTTTTCTTCATGTTTAGGATGAAATTTATATTTAGAAAATAACTGTTATTTACTTAAAAAACAAAATTGCCTATTTGTTCAAAAAATTGAATTAGATTACATTTCGGACCCATCATAGCTCCTCCACATGTGACAATCTCTTCTAATTAGGCAACGAGTTAAGGTCTCTAGCGGCTCACAACAACATCAACCTTATCAGTAGTTTTTTACTTTGTTTTCAATTACAACCACATGCTTAAAGAAAATATTCTGGCGAATTTCTTTTCAAAAAGTTGGCGGAATATATATATAGCACACTATTTATTGACGCAAATCTTATTGCTTCGCTCCGGACTCACATAATTTAGATAAACGAAAACAACAGTTAATTTGCACTGCATGGATTATATATGCGTGCGAAACGTTAATCTCAGTTTTTCTATAAGTGGGGCATATCATATTCTTTCACGCGTTTGGCTTTTTCTTGATTTAGAAGACATGAAACAATTTAATCACGTGTCGATAATACTACATAGACGATAGAGGACTCGGAAAACGAATATTATTAAGAGTTTATTTCATCACAGGGCAGTTTTAAGTTTTTTATTGCACAAAAGAGCAGTTTATGCTACCAACACAGTTTATTCTAACTAATTCTCTTTTCTTCTTCTTTTTCTAACGAGATAGTCCTCTAATTAACTAAACTAAAATAGATCCCATAAAATTTTTCACTTCGTCATTTTCCATTGTTCACTATTTGAAGCTNTAAGAGTTTATTTCATCACAGGGCAGTTTTAAGTTTTTTATTGCACAAAAGAGCAGTTTATGCTACCAACACAGTTTATTCTAACTAATTCTCTTTTCTTCTTCTTTTTCTAACGAGATAGTCCTCTAATTAACTAAACTAAAATAGATCCCATAAAATTTTTCACTTCGTCATTTTCCATTGTTCACTATTTGAAGCTTCAACCATGGTGTCTCTATTTTTTCATATCATTATCCTCTGCTCCTGCTCCGAAACCGCCGGCGAGCCTCAGGCAAGTTGGATCTCTAGGCCGCCATGCTCTACACCTGCTCCAAAACCGCCGGAGAGCCTCAGGAAAACTCGACCTCTATGGTGGCGACTTTTCAATTGCACAATGAAGCTCAAACAACAATGACCAAATCTCACAGAAAGCTCATATTTTTTCAAATCTGAAGATGAAAATTTATTTATAAATGATAAAGTTACGATCTTGAAGTGTAACTACAATTAAAATGTAAGAAAATGAAAGATTACGAGAAAGAAATCAATGACGGCCGCAAAATAGTTGCAGAAAATCCTAAAAATCTGGGAAAGACGAAGATGTATTTACTAAAATGCCACTCACTATTGGCGTACACGTGTACACGAGATAACGTGTCCATGTATCTTAATATTAGTGTACACGAGTATATTAGGTGACCACATGGATGTGTACATAATTCAGATGATGTGGATGTGTACATAAGTAGTGTATGTACTTTTGTTCGTGTACACGAGTAAAGTGAAGAACCTTCATACGTTTTACATGTACAATGATTTACATATACACAAAATTTGTACAATAATACATAAACGTTATAAATTGTTTCTCCAACAAGGCGAATGTATCTTCTGTTCACTCTGATTTTTTCTGGTTCTTGAATCAAAATAAAGCATTGATGCTCACAAATCCATCTACAAAAGAAGTTATGATATCTAATGATTTTATAAGAAATCACATGTATACTAGCTCTTTTATAAAAATCACATGTCCACAAATACAATGTTTTATAGAAAATCACATTTACACTAGTTCTTTTGTACATAACACAAGTTATGATTCGTATAAAAATCACATGAACACTAAAAAATATTATCAATGAGAAATGTCTTCAGTAATATGACTGATAGTCTTAATTGTACACCAAAACAATATGTACACAGATTCGGTGTACATCTTCAGTAAGTATGTACATCATCAGTAGAAAATCACATCACTAGTTTTTTTGTACACCGCACAAGTAACGATTCTTATAAAAATCACATGAACACTAGATGGTACACACGTGTCCATCAAAGATAAAATTATTATTATTTTGTGTACTATTTAGTTATGTATGTTATGTATAGTGTACAATTTAGTTGTATCAAGATAAAATTATTCTTATAAAAATCACATGAACACCATATGGTACACATGTGTCCATCAAAGATGAAAGTGGTGTACATAACATATGAGTGATTTTAATGATTTTTACAAATACTATATGTTCACTTAATTAATAAACATCTACATGTACACTTGTACACATGTCTACTTGTACACATGTCTACGTGTACACGGGTTTTTTTAATATTAATTCATTAATGGTATTATTGTAATTATTTCATCTTCTTCCTCAATTCTAGTTACGAATTTTGCAGGAAAATTGGGGGTTTTTCAGAATGTCTGAATCTGAAGAGATGACCATATTGGAGATCTTGCTGTCAGAAATGAATATATTCAAATGTCTAGGAACTAGATCTTCAATAAAATCAAAACTGGCCATTGTTGTTCATCGAACTTTTGCAACGAAGGAAAACGGCGAGATGGAGGAGATGAAAGCGGCGAGATGTAGACGGCGTTGAGAACAAGAAGGAAACGACAAAGGCTCGATGAGAAGAAGACGACGAACGCGACGACGAGAAGGATACGACGAAAGCAGCGACAAAAAAAAGAAACGATGAGATGGAGACATAGGTGGTCTTGTTGCAGCAGAAAAATGGTTTTTAGACAAGATGATGAAGTTGTAACCGTGGATCTTTATCTGTTCAAGTTGAGATTTACCAAAAAATGACTTTCGTAATTTTAATTTTCTGTAAGCATTAAAAAAAGAGTGATTATTTTATTTGTTTAGTTAGGAAGGAACTACTTTAGTTAAAGAAAAAGAGTATCTGTTAGGAAAAAGTGTCTTGGTAGAACAAACTGTCTTTTTGTGATATAATAATCTTGAAACTGTCTTTTTATGATATTGTTTCNAGATTTACCAAAAAATGACTTTCGTAATTTTAATTTTCTGTAAGCATTAAAAAAAGAGTGATTATTTTATTTGTTTAGTTAGGAAGGAACTACTTTAGTTAAAGAAAAAGAGTATCTGTTAGGAAAAAGTGTCTTGGTAGAACAAACTGTCTTTTTGTGATATAATAATCTTGAAACTGTCTTTTTATGATATTGTTTCTATTATTAACGTGCCCCCCACCCCCAATAAACCTAAAACTCAAACAATATAAAATATAATAATAAAAACCAAACAAAAATATTTATTGCGATACGTTTTGAAAAATTTCATACTATTTTTTTTTCCTTTGATGACTTTAAATACATAGCGTGACGATTATGATATCCTAAGTTTTATTGATTTACTATTAAAATGGGTATATTGTACTTAAATTATATTCGAAATCTGACTGTTAATCTGATTCGTCTACTGTTGATTTTTTTTTTTCTGTTGACTTTTTCTGTGTTGTGTGTTCACTGGGGTACTGTTTGCTATCTAGTTGTTTTTCCAAGTGCTAACTAGTCAATCATTGAACTTAGTTTAGAGCTTCTGCGTATTACTTTTATTCATTTAAGTCCATCTTCGATATTAAAACATCATTTATAAGATGATGATTTTACAGAGAAAAAAAACATCATAAGATTAGAGAGTCCAAACGGTTGAATTTATGTCATAGGAAACACTGTTTATTTGGAAATAGCCAGCAACAATATAAGTGATTCGTAAGCCTTTCTCAAGAAAAAGAAAAACAATAAGTGATTTTCATAAGGCTTATTTGTAGAATAGCTATAAAAAAAGTAAAATTAGATTTTGAATAAGAAAATAGGAAGAAAAAAGAGGTGAGAGAGTGTGTTTTTGGTTAGATAGTGAGTTTGGGTTTTTTTTTTATGGTTGTAGGGGCAAATTTTCAATTCTCATATGGGAGAGAACATGGGTTATGCTCTAATCAAAAGGGATTAGCGTGACAAAAAAAAGTGGGCGTCATAAATCTGGATCTGAGCAATAATGGGTTGGGACCCAATTTTTTTATTGTGTGGAAGTGTTAGAAGAAAAACGAAAATACAATAGGTTAGATTTTAAACATGTTATGCTGCAAAAATAGCACATGAAAAGAAAATTCATAAATAACTTTCATTAAAAATAGAAAAACACACACATATATATACCCTAAAGTAAAATGTTAGGAATTATAGCTTAAATCTGGGGGTGGATTTTATAGTTAGGGTTTAGGATCTAAGATTAGAGTATGGTATCAATTTAGAGTAATGATATTTTAGTACTTGTAAATAATATTGTAAAGTATTTATCTATGCTAATTATATTATTATGAAATATAATTTAACTTTTAAATTTTTAAAAATGCTATTTTGATTATTTTGTCCTTACTATTTTATGATAAATACTATTTTATGAATAAAGAAATTTGTAAAAAGGTAAATGACTTTTTTTCATAAGATAGTATGCACGGCTCTGTGTACATGAGCTATATGAGCTATACAGTATAAGTATAACATCAATTTAATAAAATCAACTTCAAGAATTACTATCATACTTGTTTTAATAGCCACGAAAGGTTTTCACAAAAAAAAAAACATTTTAATTATTTTATGCACTGTTCGATTAATTTTATGTATTCATTGTTGTTTAAATCGGTTTTACTTTTCATTAATTTTTTTACAAGAAATGATATTTAAAGTTTAACACAAAAAATAAATAAATATAAACTAAAACATTATGATGATCTAATATAGAATAATATGCATAATACATATAGTAAAAAAACACTAAAACTTAATTTGTCTTAAAACTTGAAAAAAAAATCCTTTCAATTCTAAAGAAGGATTTACAACACTATTTAATGAACGCGAAGGGAATATTAGTTTAAATTATGGACAAGTTAATTTTTACACTAAATTTTGGCAAAAAAATGAGCACTTAGGTATATGGTTTTACTAGCAAATAACTAACAGAAGTGTGAAACTTGAAAATTACAATTTACTGTTAAAAATAATAATAATAATGACGTAAAACCAAAAAACGAGAGGTCTATTTATAAAAGACTGGATGCTCTTCTTAGTCATTCAAGAGACCATCTAAAATTAAGTGAAATATTCTGCGAATTAGAGAGATCGTCCCTCATAGTCACTACTTCCATTTAAGTAATATATTTTCATTTACAATCATTGTAGCTCTTCTTCTCCTTTCATAAGGTGAACGTGGTGATATCGGATTGTGGACTGAGATAAATTATGGGGAGGGCAACGTGGTTCGAAGCCGACGGAACGAAGAGAGGAGAATGGACGGAGGAGGAAGACCGCAAACTCATCGCTTATATCGACGTATACGGCATCGGTGACTGGCGTTTTCTCCCTCACAAAGCTGGTAGTTATATATATTTATAACACTACATTTTATATAATTTTGTGTGTAATGGTGACCTGAACCAAACATGTTTTCTAGGAGCTGCATAATTGTAAGTGTCGTTTTTAATAAACTCCACCACAAACATGATATGCTTTGTAATAGTGGCAAAATAAAGTTTGCAGAGTGATGCCGATAAAGCAGGTTTTCCATGTGTTTTTATGTACCTAGAAAAGTCATATATATAATCATAATTATTCAGAAGGCTAAATATGTACGAAAAGAAGAAGAAATTTGTTTTCCATAATTTATATGTACCCAAAAAATCACAATAATTTACTTGCTAAAAATTCCCATTTTAATCTTTATAAAGGTTTGCAGAGATGTGGAAAGAGCTGCAGATTAAGGTGGTTTAACTATCTAAGGCCTGGGGTCAAGAAAGGCAAATTCACTCCTCAAGAAGAACAAACAATCATCAGTTTCCATTCTACTCTTGGCAACAGGTACATCAATACATAATTAAATATATTATTGATCTGTCAAAACTCAGAACTTCATGATATCATGTATCCTAGATATGCCAGTACTACAAGAATTATATATAGGTGGTACATACAGCCTCCTTGTATTCAGATCCAATTAATTGGCAAAAATTGTCAAGACTGAATGTTGTGAGAAGCTATATACACTAGTTCTAAATATATTTTAAACACTGGTAAAAGAGATATAAAATACGAGAGAATAATGCAATTTCGTCAAGTAGTTTGTTTTACAGCATATAATTTAATTTTCATTTAGCAACTGTAAACTATTCGAGCTATATTTGTAAGGATTGTTTTTGTATTTTTTATTTATCTTGATCCGAATATATTTGTGAAATGCAATAATTGAAAAGCATTATAACTATATTATCTAAATATAAACTATTAATAATTAGATTATATCCTTCATACATTTTTGTTATATTGAACTAAAAATTTCTGTTGTAGGTGGGCAACCATAGCGCAGCAAATGCCAGGTCGATCAGACAATGACATCAAGAACCATTGGAACTCTTGTCTTAAGAAAAGACTCGAGAGAAACGGAATCGACCCAATGACTCACAAGCCAATCATCAACCTCGCCGTCAAAACACAGTCGTCCAACACAGATTGCGGTAGCTCTTCCTCCTCTATGGCGAGTCCACCTTCTTCTTCCTCCCCCTCCGGCTCGGTCCGACTCCTTAACAAGATCGCCACTGGTATCTCATCTAGACAACATGGTGTCGACAGGATTAAGAACATCTTGTCGGATCCGAGCATCGCAAGCATTAATAGTCAAGAAGAAGAATTTGAGCAGTTGAAGAAAGATCATGGGAAGATGTTTGCTAGTGATGATCAAGAAGAAGATGATTTTCTGATGTGGGACGAGGAGAAAGTGAGACATTTCATGGAAGAAATTGACGTCACGAATTTCGAAACCAACTTTAACCCTAGTTCACCACCACCTTATGGTGTTTATGAGACTGGCCTATTTGATAATCATCTCATTTGATTAATCAATGGTTTACGGTGTGAGCTTTATCATTTGTGTATTTACCTACGGCACATTTTTCATTTCGTACGTTGTTGTGACAAATTAAGAGTAATATTCATAAATATTGTACCGACCAAGAGAATAATTTCCAAAATGTCACGTCTCTATATTACATATAGATAATATAGAACATGGGTGCAGTGAATCAAAATAGGAAACTTCATGAGTTTGTTATGTACCACTAATAGTGCAATGTATGATATTGGATGTTCGTGGATAAAATGATTAGAATCTTATGTAGTCTCTCTATTCTTTTTTACTTGTCGTTATGACGTATCATGCATCTCCATCATGGACCATTTGTGTAAAATAAGGTACACATAGCAAGCATAATTTCTAATTTATATGTTAACAAATTCTTTCTCATGCTTTATCTCTTTGAACTTTAATACGGATGTATTTTACATATAAAAGCAAAAACAAAAACATTATTGGGACAATTGCTTCTTCGTCGATCTTTTGTTCTGGTCCCGTGGTCCGCACTACTTTGGATTTTAATTTTATTTTGTAATTTTATGTAATAAGTTTACGAAGTTGATGTTTTTGTTTATTATTAATAAATTATTCTGATATTATCTATTTAAAGTATTGTCTATTATCTGAATCCGTACGTATACTTTTTTTTTTTGCTAGGGAGCGAACAGTTTTTTTCTATATAAAGTCAGATGACTCTGTCATATCTTCATCTACCTCTTTTAATATTATGTACAATGATATCAAGAAAATTTTCATTTTTAACACCTTATTTTTTTAAAAAATATTTCTCTTCTATCTAATTATTCAGGAGACCTCAATTTTAATCTTTTACAATAATTTGTTTAATAAAATTCAGTATTCTATTCCACAATTTTCAATTCACATTGTTATCTTTTAGAGTACAACTAATAATATTTATAAGTGTTATAAAGAGTTATCATTGGGATCTAGTTAACAAAAAAAAATTAAATACTACTATAATTGATTATAATGAAAATGACATTTGTTATGTATTCAAATGAAATAAGAATATTTTATATTTTTAGATCATAAAAAACATAAATTTGGACACAATAATATTTTTTAAACATATTTTGATACAATCATTTTTTTTCAGAAAATATTATTATATAATAAATTGAATTATTGAATGGAGCTAAAGACAAAAATATCTGTATAACTAATCAAGTTATATTGCGTGGCTAAGTTGGGTCACAATTTTTTTTTTCAATGGTTGAATCTCTACAACTTGGTTGAAGCCACATAGATGTGCTCTAAGTTTTCAACATCTTCATTGTTGAACATTTATTAGTTAAAATCAATATTCAACAACTCTATTAAGGGTGGTCTAACGGCCTAGAATATTACCTATATTTTTTCCGTTTCAGAATACTTGTTAATTTAAGCTTAATTTTTTGTCACAAATTAAATGTCATTTTAGAGTTTCAAGGAAAAATTTAGTAGTTTTATATAATATTTATTTTTTCTATTGTTGAAAAAGTAGTTAAGTATATATATCTTAAAAATATGTAAAATTAAATATTTTTTTAATATATGTGCAAAAACTTAGAATGACAACTAAAGTGAAACGGAGAGAATACTCCATATATTTCAAAATGTTATATATTTAGAATTTTTGTATTTCAAAATGATTCATTTTTTACATTTTCAATACTTTATCAATAAATGATGATTTGTAATTTGAAAAATATTTATTAAAGCTCTATTGGTTAAAAGTTTTAGAAAATAGTTAAATATAAAAAATAATGTATTGATAATCAAAATTAAATAATATATTTTAATATATGTAAAAAAATTAAAACATGGATAATTTGAAACCGAAAGAGTACTGTACAGCGTGGCAAAGTGAGGTCTCAGTTTGAGGGGCCCCCAGTTTGAGACACTCAAACAACATCATTCTTACAGACACGTGGGAAACGCGCCTCCTTATCAGCTCCGTTTCACATTTAGTCACGTGATAGTTATGCGCCCTTGATTACGAGTGATTGAGACTGAATGCTTTTCTTTTTATTTGTTGATTATTGATATACTCTATTAACATGAGTATGTTCATGGGAACAAAAACTTGACTACAATGTTGACAAAAAAAAACTTGACTATAATATGCTCATTAGTCACATGGCCTGCCATGAGACATTATGAAGGTTTAAGTAACATCTTCTTACAAATATAGATGTTTATTTCTATGTAATTTTTTTTTAAAATCAAAACTTGACTGGCATATGTCCACGACCGATTAGATTAGAGAAAGCCGAAATATATTACAAAATATAAATATCGTTAAAACATATATGGTTAAAAACAACATATATGGTTACAAAATTATCGTTAAAAACATATATGGTTACGAAATTAAGATTACAAAATATAAATATAATATATTCATTAATACATGTTCTATTTAATTAGTCGGATTTTTAACTTTGGTTTTTATTTTCTTTTGGTTGTCTTTTCTTAAGAATTATTCTTTTGGTTCTCTCTCAAAAAAATTTGTGATAATATATATATAGTGGTTAAAAAGTTTTAGGTGGAGTTTCTATCCTCAGTTCGAATACTGTTTTAAGTAGCAAAAAAATCCGAATTTTTATAAGTTTTGTAGGATTAGTTTTTGGATATAGAAAATCTTTGAAATCCATACGATATATATATATATATATATTAGATTTTTTTCCTTGTACATATATATAGTATTATAAATAAGTTATCCAAAACTTATTTGAAATACTTTAAGATATTATTGAGTGAGATATCAACTATTTTAGATATTTACTAAATAATTTCTTTTGTATATGTGAGATATTTAAAAAAGAGCCTTCTAGTAGATTTGTTTTAACACGAGTCTACTACTGTAATACCTAATTTTATGGATGGCTTTGCCAGTGTGTCAGTTATCTTCCTTTCCAATTTTTGTTTGTTAAACTAAGATTTCACATTTGAACAAAAACAAAAGCAAAAACTAAGATTTCACAGAATTTAGTAGTCATTAAGAAATGATAAAACATAACTATAAAGCCAAAACAAAGAAAACAACAGTAAGCAAATTGACAGAACCAGTGGTGGAACTAGAACAATATCACTAAAAGAGAAGATAGAAATGAACTCAAAACTCAACCAAAACAGCATCTATCACTGACGAAGGAGAGGCATCAAGGGCTGTAATGGCCAAAATTAGCACCATCAATATTGCTGATCAGAAATGATTTGCATCCTTAGTCCAAGAGAAAAATGCCATAAAAAATCTCTAATATTAAGAAAAAAACAAACTGGTGGGCGACACTGAGCAACTAATTAATATGCTTCAAAATAATTGTCTACTTCCAAGAGGCAACAGGGAGAGAAACGCACAAGTATCATGAACGAACTTCTGCATGTGGGGCAGAGGGACCATAACGTCGGAACCAATCCATTAATAGTGACATAGAACATTGTTCTGAAATTAAATTATTGATGCGATTTAAGGGTGACCATAAATATCTATAAAAAAAAATGTCATACAGTAATATAGGTTACATCTTGCCATTCGATAGCAGTGAATGAATGGGAGACATCACATACATGTAACAGCTCAACAATACGGTTTGGGATTTTTATCTTCTTTCAACATTTGTCACAAGCGTGGTGATGCCTTAAAAGCATACCATCAAACAAAATATTACTGTTCGATATAAAACCGATTTAAAACTAGTCTAATCAAATCAATTTAAGCTCATTAAGTTTTTTGTTGTTGTTGTTGTTATATTTATGTCGCGCACGCAGATGGAAACCAAACCTCAAGTTTTGTTGCAACAAACCGGACCCAGAGGCGTGCCTACAGCTCTTTGAAAAAGGCATTTGCCTCAGGCCCCATTTAATATAGATAAATTTGGGCACTTCAAAAAATCATATCTAGTTCAATGGTTTAATCTATTTTGTCAAAGACACACCCACATAAGTTCTATCAAATTTCCAAGTGAATTCAGTTCCTTTTTTTTTTCCTATCTTATATAAGCATGGCTCGTAGTATGTTAATAAATTTATTTTTAACATGAGACTTATGTATATGGTTATCATGATATATTGTATTTAAAAGCTTTTTTATATAACTAAAAACAAATTTATTTTGGAAAGCTTGCCTTAGTTTACAATTTTTTCTTTTGCCTTATGTATGTTAATAAATTTATTTTTTAACATGAGACTTATGTATATGGTTATCATGATCTATTGTATTTAAATATTTTTTTATATAACTAAAAGCAAATTTATTTTGAAAAGCTTGCCTTAGTTTACAATTTATTTTTAGGCCCTATAAACTCTTCGCACGGCACTGACCGGACCACATTATTTGTGGTCCCAGTGTGAGACATCAAACCAAGTAAACCCAAAAAACCTGAACTTCCAAAACGCAGTGATGAGGTTTTTAGAACGTTAAGAACCCTTTCAGTTTTTGCATTTGTGATTATACTAACATGTACGTCCTTTAAAATATTGTTCATCTTTTGTTTTTGCATTTTTCAACTTCCCTTCAATATAATAATGAAACATACTTACACAATTCCATCAATCAATGGTGATCATGTTGTTATTATATGGGATTCTTAACATTACAATGGGTTTAGGTTCTTCAACTATAGAATCCAAAGCTTATGTGAGCTTATTCTTCTTGTTTTCCTTCTTTTCTCTCCATTCCTTTATGCCACTTTCTACCTTGGCACTCACACGAGCTTGAAAACCAGGATATGGCTCATACCCGAAAACCATTTGAAGAATCTGTATTCATTCATTCACACAATTCCACATTAAAATTTCCATGTGGAAAAAACTTTAAGGCTGGAGAGAGAACAATGCATAAAAAAGAACTTCACCTCGAGCAACACGAAGAAAGGAGCCATGAGAAACGCTTGAGCTAGATTGTCTAATAGCGCAGGTGCTCGTTTCTGTGCGGGTAGACAATAAATAATCAACTGATGATGTGAAGAATCAAAACAATGCTTTCTAAGAGCCAAAGGACATACCTCAAACAATCCATGGCCAAGAAACTGCCCAGTCCAACATAACAGCTGCGATGCTAACCCAACCTGTAACACATAACAGATGGATTTTAAATAGAGATTATTTACTATAATTTCCTTTTCTTCGTAATCCATAACAAACTAATCAAATGATCAAGAACACTTAAAAACAACAACTGTAACAAAAGGCACATAAGAATCCTCTTCATGATGAGTTAGTAACACTAATAATACTAATTAACAAGTCTTTGAAAACAATCAGAATCTTGCAAATTCGAAAGCCAGAGACAAGAAACTATAACTGCTGTCTCAAACGTGAACAGGTAATAAAACAATAAACATATAAGAGGACTTTCAAGTCAAAAGCATCAAAGACAATAAACAATAAATGCAATGAAACAAACACACACACACACATGGATGCAACATACTCTCTAATAAATACACTCCCTTTCCTCCAAAAAGACAAACTTTTTTTCAGATTCAGACAAGAAAACCAAAAAAAAAAAGAGCAAACCTTTACGGAAAGAGAAGGTCCTAAACGATCAGCGAGGACACTGGAACCAACCCAACAAGCGAAACACATGAGAGCCGCGACAAACCCAGATTTCTTATCCAAACAGATATAAAACAGAGCATAAGCCACCGTGACGAGAAACCCAACGTCTAACCGTAAAACGCCGTCGAGGGTAAGCGTCTGAGGAAACCCTAATTGAGAAAGGTCGTAAATTGGGGAGGCAGGGTAGAGGAGAAGCAAGGCTGTGAAGACGATGGGCCATACGAAGATGATGTGGATGAGGATGTTGATTGGGTTGCTGTGGTAAGCTCCGTAGAATGCGAAGTGTTTCTCGAGATCGAGTAATCCCATCGTGTTAGAGAGAGAGAGGTTGAAGATGATGTGTTGAAGGGAAAGGGGGTTGAAATAGTATCGTAACAGGAAGATTACAGAGAGAGACACGGGGAGAAGACGATAAAGGTAAGATTTTTATGAGTGATGCTAACATGCGCATTTGTTTGAATGAACATGTTCTGGCTTTGCTATTATGCGCTTTTTAAGGGTGAACATGTTCTGTCGTTGCTAATTTGCGCGTATGGAGAATTGATTATCCACACGGGGAAAAGACCGAACCGGAGAGTTGATATGATTGGACGAATTTTGTTCTTTCATTGCTAACCTGCGCAGATGGGATGTAACTGATATACATGGGATGTGTACAAAAGTGGATGGTTTTAATTAGGTGGAGATTTCTTACCAATTTAAGGCAATACTAGTTAACTTGAGCTTCTAGAAGTGAAATATGCTTAGGCTAGACGTGTGAAATGAAGTAGTTGACACATGTTTTGTCTTTTAGGATTCTGGGCCTCTTTGAAATGAAAGTTATCTTTCTTGATTCAACTTGGGTTCTCCTAAAATATGGATATATTATAATGTGTTAATTTAACCTTGCTGTATCACTAGAATGGGCATATGAAACCTTAGGCCCATTCTTGACTCTTAAAATATAAAGCGAAATTCCAGTAGAAACTCATCGATATTGGTTAGCTCGGGTTTAACCCTTTTTCAGTTCAAAAAAAAAAAACTTTTTAAGTTTTAGAATTTAATAAAACTAAGATGAAAAAGAGTGTGATGAGAGGAAGCAAATGTGTAAGAAAGGCAGTGCCTTACCACATACATTTGCCAGTAATGGCTGTGATGGTTCAACAAACAGAAGGAATGCGTGATATCATTACAGATAAACACGTGTGGCATCTGAGTGATAAAGCCATCAAGAATGTCTGTAAGAAGCACGTGATAGAGCAATGGAAAAGGGTGTTTGGATATTTTTTTACATATTGTTGTTACCTGACAGATTTGTTCTACGCCATGTTTACTTGTTTTTGTTCTCTCAATGTCTCAATACTGGGATAAACATGTTGGAAGCAGTCGACTCCTTCAGGTTCTCTCAACTATTAAAACAAATGGGCATGCTAACTGGAGCTAATTTTAAGATAAGTAAAAACTGATTCCTTCATTGATATTGAACTATCGATTACATTGAAAAACAGTGTGACACATGACTACCATACAAATCATCAACTAAAGGTATTAGCTGTAAGCAAAGACATAAAACTTCCATTCCTCTCAACACTTCAAAGTCACTATATTTGCCGAAAATCATGTTGCTAAATAGCTCACACCTCTCAGCTTCTTGTGTTGGTAGAAGCGATTCTTCTTCCAATAATTTCTCATATGAATCTAATCATTATATGGATTAAAGGGGTAGAACATAACAAAAAATTAAACACAAATAAGCGTACACCACTCATTGCAAGTTTTGAACATTTCATTAAAAAAACTCACAACAAAACGATTTGGAGATGCAAAATGGAATGGGAAATGCAGTGGTGCAGAAACCAAAAAAAAAAAAAATCAATCTGGAGAGTGACTCTTTTGTTTCTTCTCCATTGCATCGCCCACTCTATTTTGCTCTTAGTCATCATTCTAAATTCTCCTTTAACTGGAGAAATCAATTGTCCCTGACTTTCATCTTCACTTCCTATAATAATTTAAAAACTCCAACAGAAATAATAAAGGTGCAAAAACATACAAATGAAATCAAAAGAACTGCAACAAATAAATCACCTCAGGATTAAAAGGAAAACTAAAAGATAAGATCAAGAATTGAAGACGCTAAGGTATTAAGTAACATGTGCATCAGAGAGATTCCCATTTAGACATTAATCATCATAGATTCTGATGTCCCTGTCTTTTTATCGTCACTTGCACTAATCCATTAAAAATACCCAAATGTAACCAAATCAAAAAACAAAATCAAAACACAAGCAAAACAGTAACAGACACAAAGGAACCAAATCAAAAAGAGTAATGCCTCAGATTTGATTTTTTTTCCTAGAGATTAAACTCTCAAAGTATATTTAACACCATCACAGGCATCAAGAACAAGCAAAGACATCAGTGAAAACATTAAACACACAACCAGACCATCGTAAGATCGAATCTGTCGGAAAACTCGAGCCTTAGAACAAACATCATACAAAACTGGGTTTCTAGAGAAGTATTTATATACAAAGTACAGAGGCGGTGTTAAATTAGGGCAGAGACAAGTCCAAAACGTGTTAATGGGCTTTTAACTTACTTTGGCCCAACTAGTATACATAGCGGTTTGAGTTTCCGGTTGGAAAGCAAATTTTATCAAACCAAACCGGTTCTCTCTCTCTCTCTCTACGGAGAGCACACAATTCTGTTGGTTGACGTCTCAAGTTTCCCGCGAAAACCAAGCTTGTCCCTTCGTCTGCTTCTCTGAGCTTTCTCTCTGTTCCACCATTAATCTTCCCTTTTTCTCTTCTTCAACTTTTTTTCCCTTCTTCTTTTTCTTTCTCGGGACAATCTCTTTTTGGTGCCTTTTTTTTTGTCCTCTTTTTTTCTTTCATGAATTTCTTCTCTTGTTTCCACGCAAAGAACCCATTTTTATCGTTTCCTGCTGCAAAATACACCTTTTTAAATCTTCCGTTACAGTGAATCTTCTTCTCTAGAAAGAGAGACTCTTTGTCCCCATCTTTAAAGCTTTGGATGTTTTCTTTCTACTGTTTGGTATTTATTCAATAATTCTCCACAAGACACTTTCTGTTTGAAGGTTTGAGACACAGAGAGAGAAAGTGACTACTATTCTTTTGTGTTGTTTTTTTTTCTTTGTTCATGTGGTTTTGAAGGTGTTTATTATGTTATATTTTTTTACAGGATGGGTAGGGTGAAGTTGAAGATTAAACGACTTGAGAGCACAGGGAACAGGCAAGTTACATACTCTAAGAGAAAAAGTGGGATCTTGAAGAAAGCTAAAGAGTTGTCGATTTTGTGTGATATTGATATTGTCCTTCTTATGTTTTCTCCTACCGGAAAACCAACCGTTTTTCATGGAGAACACAGGTAAACCAAAACATTCTCAATCTTTGTTAGCTTGGAATGTTATGGTTGGATATTAAAAGAAGTACTAAGAGAGGATCCATTTTCCAGTAATTAACTGATTTTACATGGCAATTCTCACAGTTGCATTGAAGAGGTTATTTCTAAGTTTGCGCAATTAACTCCACAAGAAAGGACAAAAAGGTATGGTAAGCATTATTATGTGATGTGATACACAAAAAGATGTAATTTATTGTTATGAGACTAAAATAAAGTGTTTTGTGTTCTTGACTTATCAGGAAATTGGAGAGCCTTGAAGTAAAGAAAAATCCTCACTGCATTTTTTACTTTATTTCTCGCCAACTTTTTGGTTTTGTTTGAATCACAAGTCTGAGCTTTTTTTTTTGCTCGTTTACAGGCATTAAAGAAGACTTTTAAGAAGCTTGATCATGATGTAAATATACACGAGTTTTTAGGAGCAAGGTACTTGCCATGGATTCTCATAATTCAATAACTATACTTTTGTAATTTATAAGCAAGCCTCTGAGAAGTTGTCTTTTTCTCTATCTTGCAGGAATCAAACTATAGAGGTTATATGTGTTGACCATCATCGGTTCTAGAATTTTGTTAGATACTTTTAAAGCTCTTTAAGTCAGATTGAAAGTTTTTGCTAACCTTGATCACATGACAGGGTCTAAGTAACCAAGTAGCCATTTCCCAAGCTCAGCTTATGGAATGTCATAGGAGGCTAAGGTGTGAAAATTTATTAGGTTCTTGACTTTTCAAGTATCTTTAAATCTAGTTGCAGTCTTTTTGAGTCTTTGTGTCCTGGTTTTTTCAGTTGTTGGACAAACATTGATAGAATTGAAAACACTGAACACCTCAATTTATTGGAAGAATCATTGAGGAAATCTATTGAAAGAATCCAGTTTCACAAGGTGTGTGTTTTTTTTTTCCTTTATAACTCAACCATATACATGATTTCATCTCAGTTCCTGACCTTCATATGGACCTTTAATTACCAAATACGTTTTCTTTCAATGCAGGAACATTACAAAAATAACCAACTTCTACCCTTAGAATGTACAACAACACAGGTTAAAAAACAATTTACTTTTCATCTCTCTCACTCTCTGCCTCCATCAGAACAATTCTTAACAAGTGCCAAAGCCTTAAACTGCAGTTTCATAGCGGGATACAGTTGCCTTTGGGAATGGAAGGTAATAACACTATGCAAGAAGCTCACTCCATGTCCTGGCTTCCTAATAACGATAACCAGGAAACAATATTACCTGGTGATCCCAGCTTCCTTCCTCATAGGTATGTCACAATATAATGATAATATTACTTCTAAAATTCTCTCTCTCAAGTCATGCTATACTGATTTTTTAAAAAAAAAATCAGAGAGATGGATGGTTTGAATCCTGTTTACTCAAACGGCTTCTTTGAGTCTATAAAACAAGAAGATCAGATGTGTAGCAACCGTGGGCAACAATTTGAGCAATTAGAACAACAAGGAAACGGTTGTTTGGGTTTACAACAAATAGGGGAAGAATTTTCATATCCTACACCATTTGGTACTACTCTTGGAATGGAAGAAGATCTAGAAAAGAAGATAAAATCTGAAATGGAATTGAACATCTTGCCACAACAACAACAACAACAACAGCAGCAGCAAGATCCTTCATCCACGTATGATCCAACTACCAATAATGGTGGATGCTTTCAAATCCCGCATGATCAATCCATGTTTGGCACTAATCATCATCAGCATTATCAGCATCATCAAAATTGGGTTCCAGAGTCAATATTTGGCCAGACATCATCATACAACCAGGTTTGTTATTAACATCTTCTACTGTAATTATCTAACTATGTAATCCACCAAACTAAATATGTCTCTGTAACTATTGGTGAATGCAGCAATCGCACTAATTTAATAGAGGGCTCGTGTATGCATGTAACCTATTTCATAGATGATGACTGGATTTACCTATGACCAAGGATGAGCATGAGCCATTGTTCTAGTGTTCAATATTATATATATAGAGAGAGAAGTGTGTGTGTACGTGTATTTTGTATGTATCAGAGCTTGTGTCAGATACTCAAAAGAGTTTTAGGCATTTTGTATATAAGATGTTGTCTAGAAATCATATATTTTGTAAGAAATATGTATAGTTATTATATATTTGTTTAAGTGTTTGAATTTGAAACAACAAAAGATGGTATCATATAAGAAAAAAAAAGTCTAAGTAACAAATAGAAAAGGATCGAATTAAAAAGATATTAAACAAAGCTTCATTACAACAATAAGTAACCCTAGGTCAAATCTATAATCTAGTAGAATTTTTGCAATCGATGAGAACTTATATAGTTCACTGATCTTCACATTCACATGGTAACTTGACAAAACACAATGGACAAACATTATTGGTCACAAACAACATTGCCATACACTCATCATCAAGATAATCCGGAACAATCTCCAGCTGAACTTTCAAAGCACATCCAGGAGAATACTCACTACTTGTGGGACAAGTTAGCTCATCAACATAGATAATTAGCTCCACAAGGGCATCATAGACAACATCGTCGTTGAATCCAGCTTCCATCAAGAAGTAATTGAAGTCTTCTTTGCTTTTACACTCGTCGTTCTCATTATCTTTGAAGTCTTTGGCAAGTGATAGAGTCGTGAACGTCGGGATATCATCTTCGCCTAAGATCGTGGCTGTGACTCTTATTGTGGCAGCATATTCTGGTTCTGGATTGTTATCGATCTCATGGGAGAAAAAGATTCTCATGACTACGCAAACGCTCTAGGTTAAATCGAAAAAGAGGGTTCTACGCAAATTTTTTATTGTTGTTCGTAGTCGCTCTCTCGATGATATTGATTTTGCTTTGAGTGAGTTATATTTATAGTAGAGGACTACTACAGTGTTTATCAGGAGAACCTTTTTTAGTCGGTGATTAGTTGAGTATAACCCAAGCAATTTCCTTTTCCTTTTCAGAAGAGTGTAACAATTGCCTTTTTTACTTTGTCCTTTCCCCTTTACTAACTTTATTTACTTATTTCTTTGGTTTTTGATTACCTTTTATATTTATCTTAAGAATCTTCATGTTCAACATTTCAATCGCTCAAGTATCTCAAAAAGATTTCTACATTTAATATTCATGTTTGATAAAATTATTAGATCTTACTAGTAACCATCACAAAATATTAGAAAGGAATGGAAAAAAAATAAAAATAAAATAGTAGAAGTGAGGAAGAATTATTGTTCCTCTCAAATTTATTGAGAACAAAAAGTTATTCTTTAATATTCTAAAAAATAATACAAATGAAAATTACTCGACATGTGAATTCTTAGAAATGTTAAGAAAATTATTATTCATCTTCGTTAATTTGATCACCATTCAAAGTCTTATGATGAATTTTTTTTTTTTTTTTTTTTGCCATATGCGCAATGGAAATTATCACTAGTAAAATGTCAAAATACAAAAAAGAAAAGAAAAAAGACCAAAGAGTTTGAGTTGATCAGGTGAAAGCTCCTGAACAAAGATATTGTCTGAACCAAATACATAATTGACTTATTGTTTTCAAAAGAAGACATAGATATTGGCAGGGGCAGAAAAAAGAATATGAAGAATTAGATTATTTCTTAGTCCATCTGCCCCGGTTGCTTGATTTGATATGTTTTCTTTTTTTTCCGATTCATCTCATTGCTTGATTTGAACTAAACTTGGGACATATGAGCACCCAAATGGACGATGAAATTCTATAGATTCTCCGAGATCTACTTGTCTGAAATATCCACCCTCTCCAATCACATAAGCGATGTTGCGAGTGAAGCCCATATCAGTGTCTTTATCAAAAACCACAACGACTCTATTCTCTTCATCAATGAAGAAACTTCCTTGTGAAATTCCAAACTGAAAATCTAAGAGTGGGTCCATATCCACTGCTAAGAACAAATTCCACGAAACCTCATCAGGCTCAATCTTAGTAGTAACCCAAATCTCCATGTACAACGAATTATCAATTTGAAATAACGCGGCAAGCTGCTCCTCTCTAACACTAGAAAGAGTGACAGTACATTCAAACCCAGTATGAAAGGGCAGAGCAAGACGCGGACCAAACCTCTCGGTAGTAAAATCGAAACAAATCAAGAAATCAGCAACCTCAAATGGTTCTCCAATTGGTGGTTTAGCTGGATACTTTTCTCGGGCAAACCAATAAGTATTTCCCCTGAGCGACACGCCGCGCGCATAATAGCATATATTCCAGTCGGAAGTGACATCAATAACCCTCCATGAATTAGAGCTCAACTCGTAGATCTCATATTCAACAAATTTATCAACGAGAGGATCAACAAATCTCAGAATTTTGTAGCTGCGGCATGATTTGCTATTCTCGTAACCAATAGCATAGGAGTACCAGTCCAATCTAGGGTGAGGACTTCGGGGCTTGAGACACAAGGTTTGGCTTGTGTATGGATTCCACACAACAAAACTATCGAAGTCTTTTGCGATGCATAGCAATAGACCGTCGCAGTGATAGACTAGTGATATATCAACTCTATCTGAATTGTCAAGGCTAGTAAGTTTACCTTGACAGGTTATAGATGGGCTGTGGAGATTGAGGGCCATCAAATAAACCCGAAACTCCATCACCATGACCACCGTTAACTCCTCCGTTGATGCTTGTTCACCGATGTGCTTTTTCAAAAAGCTCTCATCTTTGGTTAAAGTGTTCCACTTTTTGCAGGTGGATCTTACTCCTCTCAAAGATGTCACCGGAAGCCTCGAGAACACCTCCTCTGCCAAATCCCTTGGAAGATCCGCCATAGTCCTCTCCTTCGCACGGTGCTTCTTTGTAAAGCTCCGGTATTTGGCTGAAGTGTTCAACTTTTTTGAAGCAGATCGGAATCGGAATCGGAATCTTCTCCTAGATTTCACTGGAGAGATTATCTCCTCTGCTAAATCTCTTGGAAGATCCGACATCCTCTTCCAAATTATACAAATTAGATAAAAGACCAAATATTCAGTTTCGAGAAAAAAACAAAATCTTTCTCTTCTGAGTAGTTTAGAAGATTTGTTTCCGACATAGTCTTATGATGAATAATCGAATGATTCTCGAACTAGAGTCCAATGCTAGATTTTTTTTTTTTTTTTGGGATAACAAATCCAATGCTAGATTGAATCGAGGAAAGATGATGTCAAGTGGTCGACGTGGACATGACAAGTCTTTTCTTTATCACTAGGTGTGATTTTCCCGTGCTCATACACGGACATAAATATTTAAAATAAATATATTATAATAATTTATTGATATTTACTTCAAATTTAAAATTAATTTATAATTTGTAGATATAATTTATATTAATAATGTTATATTAATTTAATTATATATAATTTTAGATATGTTATATTTCGTCAGTTTTTTTGTTTTTACGGTTGATTTAGTTATCATTGAGATATATTAGATTCTATCTATTTCTTGGAATTCAACTATAATCTTTTTTATTCTAAATATATTAAATTTTTGAGTAATTGTCTTATTTGCATTTATGCCGGTTGTTATCTTAGAAATATAAGTATATCATGATTCTAAATTACATACTTAAGTAACTAATAAATTTTTGCAAGCTAATGAACACATATTAATATTTACAATATTTAGACTGATTAAATGATAAACTGAAATTTATTTTAAATAATTTTAAAAATAAGGATTCTGATTTGTTTAAGTATTTTGATTATGGTTATATTAAGTTCCACAAACATAAAAACAGAAAATTAAAAATCAAAAGAGTTATTAAGAAAACATATAATTTTAACTATTAAAATATAATATATCTACT